CATCCCATTTGCTATTACTTACAAGCATGCTTTATGTAAGAGAAGACAAAACTCCTATCACATATTTGTTTCATACTATCTCCGGTTTTTAATATAAGAACTAGTTTGATTTTTACTTTTATCCTAAATATAAGACTTCAATCTACTTTGTTTCTCATATTTAGTTATTTTTTTCAAAATAGTTTTTGTAATAATGGTAATTCTGACAAATATACTTGATTAATTAGAATATTTTAAGAAAGACAACATATATTTATTACAAATAACTAGCTTAACTAGTTTTTTTAATTTACTAAAATTAGTCATCTGGCTCTTATATTAAGAATCGGAAATAATATTTTATGAATCATGATTAAAAAACTATTTATAAGTCATTTAAAACAACTCCTAAAATATGTCATAGGTTTTACACCCTCGTGGGTTTGAAAACTGGCGTCATGTTATTTCGATCAAAGCAAATGTTTGAAAATTTAAATTTATCTTTATTTTGGTTTTAATCTCTTAAATTTTAAATCATAATTTTTGGTATTTTGAGGTTCTTTTCATTTAAAACATTAATCCTTATAACCTAATAAAAATTTAAACTATTTTACCCCTTATAAATCAAAACCTATGGTTTGAACTTAAGATACTAAAACTAAAATAAGCACAAAGTAAAGATAATATTAACCCTCATGGAAATTGTCTGCGTGTTTCACCGACACCCTCCAACGTTTGAAATATGCGAGGGATGACTCAGATTGAGCTGTCTCTGCTGAGATGTGAATATGAATCTCAGTACTCAAAAGCTGTGCTATTTATTCAATTATTCGTTTCTGCACCCTGTGAATCCTTCGCAAAATCCAAAAACTTAGTCTGTAAATTCTCCTAGGTTTTTGTTCCCCTCGTCCTCCATGTTCCATTTTCTACTATACTCACGGTCACCGCCCGACTTCTACATGGCAAACTTCAGCCAAGTTTCCGATTACTATTGGGTGCTTTCCCCTTAATTTCTGATCAATTAAAATTAATATACTTAGATTTTAACAAAAAATTGGGTCTAATGAAATAGGTTGGTCTCTCACACTGTGATAAACTAAAATTTGAATTCCTATTAAAAGAGATAATCATATTTAATGTTTGGCGGTATTTGTAATATGAGGATACCTATGATTACTGGGGGGGGAAAAGCCAGATCATTATCCTGGCAGTCTCTCTTAGTTGTAGTTTAAAATGCTTGTATGGGCTTAATTAGGCCTAAATTGTGGAATTGTATTGGGCTTCGTTTCTTGGCCCTCCTGAACTCGGCCCATAGTTAGGGACCTTCAACTTTGTTATCCCTGTTAACCGGCGCACATTGATCTTTTTCATTTTTGCAGAGTACTTTCAGATCACTTATTAATAAGGTCGTGGGAGGTGAAATTTAAACTCAAACTTTGTCAGATCATTTAACTAATACTCTTTCGGTTCTTAATATAAGGCCCATTTAACTAATTTGATTAAATTAAGGAAGTTAGATAAGTTAGTTAATTATAAGAAATGTGACATATTTTTCCTAAAATACCATAATCATCTTTCTTAATACCCTCTCTCCCTCTTTTATTTGATCATGATTGAGAGTATCCATAGGGATAATTTAGAGAAAATTAAAAAATATGAGAAATGTGTCTTATATGTGGGACCAAAACCAACTCAATAATTGGATCTTATATTAAAGACCGGAAGAGTATTTGAATTTTTTTATCAGAATTAATAAATGATTTCAATGTGTTCCTCCCAATACTTTTTAATCTGGCGGGGTAGATTGTAATTGATTTGAGTGTGTCTTATCCGGAGTCGGTAGTTTCGTTCCTCCGTTGACAACAATTGACATGGAGATTAGCGAGGTTGTTGATATTCGAAATCTGGATGGAATCGAGACTAGTGAGGTTCTTGATTGAAAATTGATATATGCTTTTGGCTGGGGGTTAGCTTATGCGAGAGAATATTCCAAACATAATAGGAGTAACTCTCTAGGTAGAATAAACTTTCAGTTCAGACATGGACAACATGATCGTAGAATATTCTCCCGAATATCTATTCCGTATGAAATTGTTAATGATTACTGTAATTGTCTAGTACTCGAAAGTATTTTGTAGTTAATTCAATATTTTAAAGTATTTTTTTATGTGTATTGAATACCTTAAAAAAACTGAGAAATACCTGATGATACTCAATATATGTTTATTTAATAAGTTTTTTGAAAAGTTAATGAGAAAGTGCAAATTGCTCATGAAAATGAGCACAATTGTTGAAAAAAATCAATATTGTAAGAGTAATAAAGAGAAGAGGGGAGAATGAAGGGGGCGTGATGAGAAATGATGACATGGAGCGTGGGATTTTGAAAATAGGGAAGCACCCAGCCTGAGGCCCACCCTACTTTCCACTAACAATCATGAATGCTCTTTTGATTTTGAGCAGCAATATATTACTACTATTTGGGGCGGTCAATCTTTATAGATTTCACTAACTTAATTTCAAAAAAAAAAATGAGATTCTCTTTAGTCAATGAAAAAAATTATTTTGATTTTAAATATAAAATCTAATTCATTCTGTTTTTTTGAGGCTTGTATTTTTGTTAAGATTACTTCTATGATTACATGTGTTGAATAAATTTTTTTTATCAATAAATATTTCTGAATTAATTATCCATTTAAAGTTGAAATGAATAGTACTAGTAAAGAAACATGGAAGGCTGCGGTATTTTTCAAGAGATTCCATTGGGAATTGGAGATGTTCTGCCCCTTCCCTCCCTTTTATTCCCAAACCCCACGTCCTATCATCCCCCTCCTTCCCATCCCAAAGTCTCTCAGTTTCCCCACTCTTGTTAAGAAGTTGCCACATTTTACTTTATTTTCCACATGATATTTATTATTTACTCATCTATATCTATTAATATCTTTATGTCTTTATCTAATCAAGTTTATTTATTTTTTATTAAGTCTTCGCAATTTTTTCAATTATAATAATAAGTTTTTATGCTCATAATTTGTTAATGAAGGCACATATGATGCTGACTAAGCAACGTGTAAAATATCATAAAATACAAAATAATTTTTTAGAAAGTAGAATAGTGAAATAAAATATATTAATGATCAATATATATTATTTGTGATCTTGATTTTATTTTGGTCCATGTAACAAAATTAATCTACATGTACATTGAGCGAGTGACGTATTACCATCCAGGGATACTTTCTTCTATAAATCAATAAATTATAAATATAAGAATCCATGCCCATAACTAAGAACAGCCTAACAAAGAGAAAAAAAATTTTACTTAAAAAACAAGATAAAATTGTAAAACCTACATACTTCCTCATGTCCTATTTATAAGCTTTAAATTTGAGAAGAGGTGTGATACATTTTATAAGTTTTAATTTGTGTTTGTCTTAATATTTGATACATTTTTTTTATTTTTAATTATTTATTCTCTTTCTTTTGCCACAGTAACTTTTTTTATCACATTTTCCCCTACATTCTTTGTCATCTTTTTTCTCATTTATTGTAAGAATACATTTAAAAATAAAAAAATATCTTTAACTTATTTATTATTTTTTATTAGTTTAAACTAACTGTTCGTTATCCAATCCAGGTTTATAATAAGAACCTAGGAAGTATTAATCCTCTCTGTCATAAGGTGGGAAAAAAAAAAGGGGGAAACAATGAGGTCAGAACGAGAATGATGATGCATGATAGAAGGAGGGGAAGGCATCCTTTATTTCTACGCCAGGTACAGACAGCTTTTGATGGATTTCTCAAATTTCAAACCCCTCATTTGATTGCGTCCTCGAAGTCGCATTCGCACAGCCAATCGGGGGTAAATTCGTAAATACGTCTCAGATTTTGAATTTAACTTCTTTACCAAACACGTCCTTCCTCCTTCTGCTACTCATACGCATGCTTCGAATAAATTGAGTCCAATACACACACACACATGTATGAGTCAGGCTCAGAGAGGGTCCCTTCGTAATCATTTGAATCCCCATTTTTTTGCAGTACCTTTCAGACACTAAGATCCTCCTACTCTTAGCTTTCCCCTTTCCTCTTTCTCTGCCCCTCGCTCCTCCATTTCTTCATTAATACAGGTGATCATTTCAATTTTCAATCCAGTAAAAAAAATCTGGCCAAAACAGAAAAAACACAGTAAAAAGCAGAGAGAACATTTATTGACTAGAACAATTTTAATTTTAGACAATATATAGAATTCATCCTGACGGGCACGCATTTTGATAAACCTTTATCAATTTATCGCACCATCCCCTCCTGCAGAAAACACTTGCAAACTTTGCTTTTTTGGTTTTTTACCCAGTTAAAAAAACATGTTTCTGAATTCTGAAGACCTTGCTTGTGTTTGACAAAAGAGAAACCAGTGGCCCTTATGGCTGTGGTCTCTTCAGCTGTCAGCCAGAGCTCCAGGTTGTTTCGCCCGAAAAATAACCCACAGAAACTAAAGCCAAAATTCTCGCACCTGATGATATCACTATTAAACCGCATCATTTTTCGACTCACCCTTTATCTTTAACATATTTGCAGAAAGCCCCCCACTTATGTCATTTCATTGACAATCTCTGGAGACTTGATTGCAGAGAAGACAAGGTCCTCCCAATATGCCCACTAATTGCACAACCCCACCACTAATATCAAAAACAACCAACCAATTCTCAAAGCATCAACTGGCAGGTATCCGCAATCTTGACAAAGGCCAATAACTGAAAATTCTCCTAATTTCTGTGAACTAATCATGAAGAGATAAACGTACAGTTACAGCAACTTTTTTCCCCCAGTAAAATCCACTTCTGATATGCTCACACGTCCACTCATGACTCTGCTTTTATCTTCAATCTACCTGTCTTCTGAAAACCATGTTCATTCAGCAATCTCTCCAAATGAAAGGAACCACGTCTAACGGACATGGAATGAAGGCCAATATATAAAAGCCAGGAGAGAGAGAGAGAGGGAGAGAGAGGAGGAGACACATGAAAAGGGGGAAATGGGTAAATCTTTATTAAAGAGTTTTGTTCAGGTTCCATCAGTACAAGTATAGACAAAAAGGGGAAGAAAATACAAGAACAAGAGAAACCTAAGTAAATTCCTGTACTCCATACCCACCTAATTAATTGACTGATCCCTAACCCCACTACGACCTACACCTTCTTTCCCTTCCCCTCTCAGATGATCTGTTAGACAAAGGACTCTAGATTCTGTATTGTTGTGTAATCATCATCACCTCTGTTATGTTACAGACCATTAGTCTACACATCTTGACAGCCCTACTTTCTTTACAAGTAAAATAAAGGGGCGATGGAAAATGGAAATAACACCACCACCGTTTCAACTAAATCTAACCCAGCTACTTCAAAGTTCCTATTAATCTTAGACCAACCAGAGAATGTGCAGGAAAAGAAGTCTTGATGGAACACTAACACTAGGCTTCTAGGGTTCCAATTTTTCCCACTCATAACGTCCAGGGAGTGGCTTGTCATTCACAGGATCAAAGTTATACCTGCACAATCGAACCCACAAGGGATACGTTAGGTCATGGAGATAGAATATACCCATGTCTTTGGGGGAAAACACAACAAAGAAATGTGTGTGCGTTTTTTTTTTTTTTTTGGGGGGGGGGGGGATGAAAACCTACTTCTCAACAAATCGCCTTTTCTGTGCCTCTTCAGCATCAGCAAAGAATTCATCCATTTCACGAGCAGTTGGAATGTGCCTTCTTGTCATAGTTTCTGACCTTCGATTAACTTCAGTAGAGCAAGTAGGCCTTGTCGTTGAACCAGGTGTCCTGCAAATGTCTGGGTCCCTTATCAAGCTGCAAGGAGTGGACTCTCTAGTGCTCCTGTTGCAAATAATAACAAACAATAAGACTAAGTAGCGTTAATGGAAACCAGAAGCACCGGCAAGTACCAAAGGATAACAAAACAATCCATCACACACATTGCTGTTAGGGCTCATGCTTGCAATTCCAAGGCAGATCCACATAGCATAAATATGATTCCATAAAACTCAACCATCGCAACTTGACACATGTATGCCAAAGATTCCATAAATGAACGATTATACATGTAACGAAATTTTTTTTTGGGGGGGGGGGGGAGCTATACGGTTATCCCTTCTACATCGAATTATGAGATAGTTTCAAGAAAAGAAATGAATAGAGTGAATAAATTACTGCCTCTAATCCCCACATTGTCAAAATAAAGACCATCATAATTATTACAACATATAACTCCAACGGTATCAACCATTATCAAAAGGAATAAATACAATCAATTCAACAGGAAAATAAGTGGAAACATCAAATTGAGAAAAGAGCAGAGAATCTTTAGCTGCTAGCCCTTAGTGCACTTAAGCAGCTACACTATTAGAAAAAAAATTGAAAAAGAAAAAAAATTAGTCGTTCCCGTTTTAAGAGCATCCGCGGATCGGGAAAAATGGAAAAATGAAAACTGCAGGTGATTAGGAAGGTTTTTCAGAATATCAGGCGAAGGTACAAACACAATACCCTGATGGCACTCAAAGATTGTACAATACTAAAGGTTTGCATAAAAGAAAAGAATTCAGAGAAATAAAAAGGAAAATAAGATATAACAATAAAAAAATTCACAAAGGAAAAAAAAAAAAAAAAACTAGAAAAACAGCCAAATTACCCGACCCGGAAAAAAAATAAAAGATTCCTCCCAATAAACCTGAATCACATCTCACTTCATAGTTCATATAATAGATAATAGATTTGCCCAATTTCCCCCAGACACAGTGATAAGTTTTAAAAAAAGGGGCGCACAAACAAAAACGTCCGTAAGGAATATAACTAGTGAAATTTTCAACCAAATCCTTAAGTGAGAAGGTCAATAAAAATAACACAAGCGCGCAAAAAAGGACAACAAAAATGAAAAATCTGCTCAAATTTCGCACATAATTACATAACGAAGAATAAAGGGATCAATGATAATAACCCCTTCCTTACTTCAGCGAGAAACAGAGAGCACGCTACCAGGACCACGTTTGATAGCCAGGAAAGGTGAACTGGGAAAAAAGCAAGAAACAATTTTTTTCCTTCAATTAAAATCTTTTACCCTGTGGGTTCGTTTCCGAAAGTTACCCCCAGGCAAAACAAGGCAATAGGATTAAAAATTGAGGGGATTTAAGAAATGAGAAACTAAACATGATCACAGAGTTATTGAAATCTCCAGGTTCAATTCCAATTTCAATTTCTTCCCTGTTCCAGTCTTTTATCTGTCTATTTCTTCCTTTGCACTTGCAACCAAGAAATTAAGCGGGGAAATTTAAAGGGGGAAAAAGGAGCCAACTTTTCATACTCTTTTTTACAATAAAATGATTATTGAAGACGGGAGAGAAAAATTACAATGATTGCAACCTCTGCAAAAGCTATGGTTTCCCCGAAATAAAAAGTATTCGAAAGATAAACAAGCAGAGATCCCGAATTGACCCAAAATTTTCATCCTTTCCTAAACAAAACGCAAAAAAATCATGAAATTCGTTTGCAAATTTCATTTTCTCGACACTGCTACCTAACATGGCAATCAAAACAACCAAATAAACCATTCAAATTTAGGATGACATGCATCGAAAAGGAGAAGGGGAAATTAAAATGGAAGTGCAAAGGAAACCAAATATTTTTTTTTTCTCTAAAGAAAAAAACCCACCTCTCTCTACCTTCAAATTCCAGAACATTCTCTCCAAAAGAAGCTTCTTCAACGCCAACATCAACATTTTCATGGGTCTCCTGAGCCCCCTCCTCCTTAACCAACACTTTACAAGAAGCCTCCTCTGGTCTCTGACCATCCTCCTTGCTGCTCACGCGGCCCAGCGAAAGCGAAGCATTGGAATCAGAGGCCCCGGAACCATGGCGAAGCCTGGAACTGGCCCTGGTAGTAGGAATTGATTTAGGGTTTTGAACAGCAACGGTTTCCTTGGAAGACTGCCTCTGTCGCTTGGAATAATGGGTAGCTGGAATCAAAACAGGGGGCTTCTCAAGGCGGCGACTTCTGAGCTGAAGATAGGAACCAGAGGTGGATTGAGACTGAGATTTCTGAAGGGCTAGGGTTTTGGCGCGGGTACGAACACCGAACGAGGAGGACTGAGAGACGTCCATAACGGCGACGTCGCCAGAGGTTTTGGCCTTCCTCATGTACTTGCCCATCAAGCTATAGCTGAAGCCAAGCGGAGAGTGAGAGAGCTGTCATAGAAAGAGAGAGAGAGAGAGCGCGAGAAAGGAAATGAGGCTTCGGGAATACAAAGTATAAATGCTAATGAGAGACTGACTGACTGGTATTGAGAAAAAGGGCAATTTGGTAGGGTTGGCTTCCCTCCCTTTCCCCACAGACCCCACCCTCCTTCTCTTCCAATTTCTCGCCTTTTTCTTCTTTCTCTCCCTCCTTTTCCGCTTTTCCCCTTTTACCCCCGCTCTTTTCCAATATCTCGGCTGGCACAATTTCTGAGCTCTTGTAATTTTTCTTTTTAAATTTTTACATATTTTATTAACTATCTAATTTTTTTGTCATAAAAAACATACTGTGCCAATGACCTAATAATCTAATACTCTTTGAAAGCATAATGTGTGAATTTAATTCTGCTTACAATTTTATGTTATTAGTATCTCCCCTAATTCAGGAAAAAAAAAACCTCTCATTACTATTACTAATTTACTTAAAAAAGAAAAGGAAAAAAATAAAAAGAGGACGGAGAAGGGGCAGGCAATTGTTAGTTTCGTATGACGAAACGAGAAGGCGGCGAGAAATGGAGGGGTCACAGATACATTTGATAAGACGGCCAAGTCATTGGATTCTCTTTGTGAGTGGCCACGTGGAAAGGGTTTTCAATTTCAGTTTTATTTATTCATTTATTTCACGCTTCTCTCTTTCTGCGTAAGGTTCCGGATGCGGATACCCGCCCCACCTTCCTCAATCGGGCATGAACGTCACGCGCTGACATGCACGAGTGGCCTATTCTCATAACTCTGCAGCTCTCCTAATAGGCCAAGTACTGCCTCGTTTCAAAGAATATTTGAGGCGAAATTATTTCGGAAGCAGCGCCCAGTATATAAAAGAAAAACCAGGTGAATACGTCTGTAATTTGATATTTTAACCGTGTTCAAATATATATAAAATATTACTTCTAATTTAAATATAAGATTTTAATTTATTTTATCTTTTATATTTATTTATTTTTTAAATAATTTTTATAATAGTTGTACATATTAAAAATTTTATCAAATAGTAATTTTAGATAATACATATAATTAGTAAGATATTTTAAAAAAATAACACATATTTATTAAAAATAATTAATTTAATAATTTTTTAATCTATTTAAATTAATCAATTAATTTTTATATTAAGCTCATACAGTTTTATTTTTTATGAAAAAAAAATAAAGGTAGGATTTTTCCTCCCTTATCCAACAATCCTCAAAGGCCTGAACAAGTTTTGTGATGTCCGAATATTTTCCGGAAGTCGCTGCTGATATAAATTTGGCCGCTCCACGTTTGAAATATCAATTTCCATTATTTTATGTGATTGTTCGCTATCGCATGCACTTTTTTCCTTTGTCAAATTCTACTTACGGGATTTATTATTTTTATTGAATTAAAGATGAACATGTTATAGTTTCTTTTGTTTTTTCTTTTAGGACTATAATCAATGCGGAAATTTTACTTTGGCATGTTCATACTAAGATTTTTTTCCAGCGTATGTTATTATAACGTCTCCCTCCATCCTTTTCTCTTCCCCGTGCGTGTAATCACTCGTAGATTCTCATGTTTTCTTTGGACTCTTATTTAGAGAGTGTTTAGATGAAATTAAAATTATAGTTTTAAAAATATTTTTATAGTATATAAAGTTTATCTCAATTTGCAGAAAAATACTTTTTAAAAACACTTTTAATACTACCCAAACACCTTTTTAAAACTTTTAATTAATTCACTAGTTTCGCTGCACGTTCAAGTTTTTCTTGTATGGCGAGATTCACATACATTATTCTCACTTTAAAATTTTTAAAAAAATTATATATTTACATAGTCCTAACTCCCGATAAAGGCCACACTGCTGGATCGGATCATAGGAAAACATGCTATAAAAATCTACTGTTGATTCAGTGCCTCTTCAAGCACTGTAAAGCATTGTTGGCAATTACCAAATAATCCAAGAACCAACTCTGCACCATCGTATTTTATGAGAATTATTTCACAATAAAAAAATACAAGGGCTGATTTGAAAAACGACATAAATTATAGGCAATCTAATATTAATTTTCCTTAAAAAAAATATTAAAAAAGAGGCAGAAATGAGTCCACAAAGCAAGACAAAAAAATGAGATTTTTTAATTTTTTTTGGGTTTATTAAGGCAGGTAAAATACACAGGAAGGTAGAACTCAATGGGAAGATAAACATTGAGGACTTGGATCAGAGGATAAATGGAAGATTAACACTGAGGCTTATGCGCTGGTGTAACAGGAAGCAATCATATGAGGAATGATAAAAGAAAGCATAAAAGGGTGAAAAGCCTAAAAAAGGGCAACATTACAACAGAAAAATGAAGAAAAGGAAAGATTAAGACTTTCAACATGAGAAACGCAAAAGAAACGTAAACCCACAACTCCATTATTTTAAATTAACACGGTAAATATCAAATAATGAAGTTAAGATGGGACTTATAAGAGGGGGGGGGTTAACATGAAGGATTCCTCCCCCCTTGCTTCCGATAAAATTTTCAACAGCTTCTTGTTCAGATTCTTGCTGCCCTTAAGAATGTTACATGTAGTAGAACACTTGACTCGGCTGTTTCAACCACAAGAACTATCAAACTCATTTCCAAATCTTGACGGACTTGTCATGACTTGCAGATGCAACCATTCCTGACACTGGTGATTGTGCTAAAGCGGAGATCACGCACTCATGAGCTGCTATTGTCATGCATCTGTTCTCTGCCATGTTCCATAGCTCCAACGACTGCAAGCCATTAATGATGCATAGGAAACCGTTAAACTACGAGGAAATCATATGATGTGATGTATAACCGTAGAATCAGATCTCGAATGTGAGATATAATCTGAAGAGAACAGTAAAGCAGCCTACAAATCTATTCTCAAGTTCAACCGTAACGTTCAGAACACGTAAACTATTCATTATTTGGTGCAAACACAAAAGCTCGCATGGAACCACTATCTTACAGATCCCACAAATCAGAGACCCATCCATGTCACACACCACCTTTTTGATGTATTCATCGTATGAAATCTGTCCAAAATCAGAGTTCTTTTCAATTCAGTCTTTTGCTTTATTTAGCAGTATTTGTTTAGGACTAGAAAGCTAACCCCAAAGCCTGCCAGCATCCACCCTAAGCCATATGGTGAGTCCCACATAGGAGATGTGAGGGCTTATAATGTGATATTTAGACCAGTCACACGAACTAGCTTCTAGAAACATAATACTCCCAAAGGTTCCTATCAGTCTCCAAGGGGCTTTCTCTTCCAGGGTCCTATGTAGCTTCTTATAAAATGGATGTTTTTCTCCTTATCTACACTTTGTCCATCCGCATCTTTCACAAACTTATACTACCTCCGGTCCTAATTATAAGAACCAGTTGACTAATTTGAGGAGATTAAGGAAGTAAGTTGAGTTAGTTATTTGTCCTAAATAGGTGTTGTCTTTCCTAAGATATCCTTGCTAATCAAGTGTATCGACTAGAACTATCATTGTTAGAAGGGCTACTTTGAAAAAAATGTATAATATGAGAGACAAAGTGGATTGGGGTCTTATATTTAGGATCAAAATAAAAGTCAAACAGGGTCTTATATTAAGGACCGGAGGTAGTAGTTAATAGTCCGTATCTTACTTGTTCTAAGGAAAAGGAGTGGAGAACAGTAAAATGGAAATAAGAAAACCATAAAACATCAAAAAGGAAACGAAGAGCCGAAAAAAGAAATCATTCACACAACTTGAAAATTGACTTGGTCAAACATACCTGGTAACCTCCAATAACCAAGAGAGTGGAGTAGCTTGGGTGAAAAACACAAGAATGGAATATGTTCCCGCTCGTAAGCTCGTGAATGCACTCCCCAGAGGTCAGTGACCACACTCTGACAGATTCTTGACTCACGGATGCCAAGTATTCTCCATTGGTATCCCAACAAACAGAATGCACATCTGCAGTGTGCCCCTAAAACAAATGAAGTTTCAATTATTAGCCGGATATTGTAATAAAAGTGGGTGCTAGAGATCTTTCATTACATCCTATTAGTTCTCCAGGAGCTCGTATTCATGTTTATACCTGTAATGACCGCACCAGCCTGTCAGTCTCAACATCATAGAGGGATACAACATTACCAGCTGCTGCAGCCAGATAGTGTCCTGTTCTTGGCTGAAACCTTACCTGTGTAGAGCCTCCCTGCTCGATTTAGATATTGAGGTTCAGAACACATGACATACAAAAAGCCATCATATCTTTGATATTATGTCATGTAAGTTTCAAAAGTGACCTTGGAAACACGAGTGCAGGAATATTGACTAATATTCCAAAAGCGAATTTCACTGTTGGCATCACAAGAACAGAAAAGGTCATTTTTCTTTGGGTGGAAATCAAGGGACATCACATGAGAGGTATGACCCGTATATGTCTGTAAACAAAAGTAGTTTGGCTGCCAAAAAGAAAAACAAAAGAGACAGGTAAGAACTGGTAGCATGTAAATCAGCATCAAACAAGGAAATAAAACTATAATATAAAATTTAGTGACTATTGACTAAGAATTAGCAAATGATCAAGCTCAGCACAAGACCCATGATGCTTTCCATCAGAAAAGCAAAAGCTGAAATTAATAATTTATGGACATACAACCACAGTATCCACAGGAAAAACAGCACCTTAAGTTAACTAAGTGGAAAATAAATGATGATAAACAATATATTTATGGATAAACAACATATCACATGGTAGAAGGCAACAGTATAATATCCATCCAGAAGACATCACATTCAATAAAAGCAGAACATCTCAACACGTGGAATAGATCAAAGGTAAGTTTCTATTTCCATTCAGAAAAGGAGTGAGAAAAGAAACTTACATCTGCAGCATCCCAGAGTCGCACAGTTGTATCAAATGAAGAAGTTGCGAGCTGAGATGAATTTGGTCTGAAGCGAACATCAGTAATAATAAGTGTGTGTTCGTCTGTAGTGCTCTCTGTTTGTAGTGTCTCCATGTTCCACAGAAAAACCTACTGACAGGGAGGAAA